TGTTAAGAATATATTTATTTTATTGTCTTGAAAGCAATATTAAAAAGTTTTAATAATGATCGGCATATTATAAAATTTTGCTTTGTGGATCAACCAATCACAGATAAAGCCCGCTATGTTAGTGGACACTGTTGCAGATCAAATGTGACGAATGTGACATTCAATAATTTATTGGGGTTGGTCACAATGGTTGATCATCAGAAAATTACTATATAGGTACGGATTTTTTAATGTTACACACACACACATATATATATATATATCATCAAAACATTATAGTATAATCAAAGATTTATTTAAACTTTAAAACGTAAAGGCTTGATAGTCAAGCAAGCTGTTGGAATAATCCTTCCGTGATTGTATTTGCAGTTGCTCAATTAAGGGCCTGTCAGAGAGTTTTTTTCATTTATATTAGTAAAAAAATTTTTTGTAAAGGTTCAAAGTTATCAATTTTATTGATTTTACTATAAACAATTGAAATTTATTTAAACTTTAAAACGTAAAGGCTCGATAACCAAGCAAGCTGTTGGAATAATCCTTCCGTGATTGTATTTGAAGATGCTCAATTAAGGAGCTATCAGAGAGTTTTTTTCATTTATATTATATAGTAAAAAATTTTTTTGTAAAGGTTCAAAGTTGTCATTTTACTATAAACAATGGAAATTTAGATAAATTTCAGAATCTAAAGGTTCAATAACCAACTAGCTATGGGAATAATCTTTCCGTGATTATATTTCCAAACACACAGTTAATAACCGATCAGAGAGTTTTTTTTATTTATATTAGTAAAAAATTTTTTTGTGAAGGTTCAAAGTACTATTATGATGGAAATTTAGATAAAACTTTAAAATGTAAAGACTCAATAATCAAACTAGCTGTGAGAATAACCCTTCCACGATTTCGTTTAAAAACACTCAATTAATGACTAGTCAGAGAGTTTTTTTCATTTGTATTAGTAAAAAATTTTTTTGTAAAGGTTCAAAGTTATCAATTTTGTTGATTTTACTATTAATGATGGAAATTTGGGGTCTGATCAATAGAAACGAGGCATGTCACCAAAAAGTCGATTTTGAGTTAACAATATTTTTATATGTAATTCATCGCAAAGAACATTTTTAACTTAGTAACTATACCCACTTTGCTTATAAATGTTTTGAGATATTTGAGGAAAAGTGAAAGGGCGTTAGTCAAATTACGTTACATGTAACACAAGCAATTATTGTAAATTAACGTTCTACACATTTTTACAGGTTTTATTATAATGATTACATAATTTAAATGTCTTCTACACATTTATTTTTTGACAGTGTTTTTGATGAAACACATCCAGAGTTAATAGACCTACAGGAATCCTTTTCTAAAATGAAAATATCATTTCAATTAGATGCAGATTTTAATGAAGAAACTGAACAAGAAGTACTAGTTATATCAGATATTGAAGATGAAAGTTCAGAAGAAAGTTATCAAGAAACAGAAATTCTATCTAATGAACAAATTAAAAAATTTAAAAATATTTACTTAAAAAAAAAAATTGAGGATGATGAAATTACAGAATCTGATCAACATAATATGGATATGGATATAGATATAGATATAGATAAATATATGGAAATTTTTAAAAAAAAGAATTGCTGTGGAAAAGAATGTTTCAAAAATTTAAATTATGAAGAGGTTAAAATTAGGTATAAATGCTTCATTGAATTAAAAAAAATTGAACAGGATATTTTTTTAAAAGGTATTCTTGCTGCTAGTATGAAAAGTGAATTAAATTATACTGGAGCTAAAAGACAAAAAATGGAAATTGAATACCAATTTAATGGAGTAAATATATGTTCAAAGGCATTTATGGGCATTTATGGCATAGGTAAAACAAGATGGAATAATATTAGAAACCATTTTTCTAATGACGATATAAAAAAAAGACAAAATGCATTAATGGGGAGAGTAGGTAACAGAACTACACCATTTGATACAGTATTAAAAATACTTATTTTTATTATAAAATTTTCTAATATCAATGGGCTTCCATCACCTGGTAAATATAAATGTGAATTATTTTTTAATAAAAAATTGTTAATTTTATTAATTATTATCATAGGAAGAAACTTTAGGAAAGACACAAACCATTAATTTTTCTTCCTGCAAATGAAA